CTGGGACTTATTCTAGTAAAATTCATGTCTTAGTGTTAACTTTGGAATTTTACAAGAATGAGACCCAGCTTGGATGATGCTCATCATATGATGAGCGAAAGCTTAGCCCGTTTCACCTGAATAGAGGGAGGTCTCGTGGACTGCATCAATCTCAACGTCGTATAAAAGCCAGACGGCTGCAGTACAACGGGATTCCACCGTTCTCTTCTGGTAAGATCGACCTTCGAATCTCTTCTTCATACACTTTCATACAAAATGAAAGTCCCAACAATAGAGAGGCCATTGACATCCTTGGAGAAATACAAAGTGATAAACAGGAGATTGGAAGAAGGCAGATTTAGTGATAACTTTGCCTATTGCTTAATTAAACTCGAAAGCAAGGATACAAGACGAGTAAAAATGAGGCGCCTGGATCAAGAATCTATACTAAACCAGAGGAAAAGTGATCACAAGGAAGAAGAGGGTGAAAAAGTTTCGTAAATAAAGCGATGATATTCTCATTGAGTGTAGTCTGTTAGAAGAAACAACTACAAATTCGGGGACTGACGGTCACGTGACTAGTTAGACGGATAATTACAAGCGCCACAGAAATTCGGCCTCAGCCAAATTGACTATAACTCCACTCGAGAGGTAGCAGACGACAAGAAATAGAAATGCACATGTTAGGGTACCTTTCATTTCGTTTGAAGAGGCGAGTGGAAGGGATTAGAAAATTGGATTCACTGGAAGCTGTAGGGAGATCGTCTTGGAGCTGTGATTGTAGATTTGTGCGAATATATCCTTGGTGCACTCCTCTGTGACCCCGATGAATCTTTGCTGAGCTTTCGTCTGTCATCTGACGTATTTCGTCAGAGCCGAACACCTTGCTTAATAATAATTCATCAAATCAAAAAGACAAGAAAGGTGGCCTACTTCAAATCTATCTACTTGTTATAGTCCAATTTGTCCACTTAGGCATCTAAAGTTTTTGTTGGATATCCAGCTCTGACAATGTCCATTACATAACAGACGAAAGCTCAGCAAGGATTCATCTGTGTCACAGGGCGGTGTGTCGAGGATCTATTCGCACAAATCTACAATCACAGCTCCAATGCAATCGCCCCATACCTTCAGGTGGAACCAACTAACGAATCCCTTCCATTCGCCTCTTTAAACGAAATGCAGAGTACTCAAACTTCAATCTATGAAGGGATTCTTCGAAACCCAGTTTTTCTACATACCTATATATGAATACGCAGTTTTATTTAGGAAACGGGTTGAATTAAGGAGATGATGTATGAAGTCATTGCCTAATATCCTCAAGCATGAGAATCAGAGCCTAGGCGGTCTGCATGTAGGGCGACATTGTACGTGCTATCGAAGAATTGAGAAATGGCGCATGAAGTAAAAAGTACACTAGGGCTGGAACCGGGTGAAATTGGTCAACAAGAATGATAAGAAACGAATCTACGGGCTCATGAGGCAGATCCGGATAGGAAGCCGAAATCGGATCGGCCACTCGAAAGAGAGGGGAGCATGGTAAACAGCAAGCGTGATGATGCCATGGTAAAGTCGCCAAAAATACTCAGCTCTTGTAGAATATAAACATTTTAGATGTTGTGATAACACAAGGACGAGACAAGAGGGTAGTAAATAGATGGAGGAGCACGGACAGGAAGATAAGTGATAGCACAACCTTTTCAGGATAAAGTTGGTCAAGGGATTGATTTCACTTGTCGCTTTGACGAGTTATAGCTTGATGCTGAGAATGGCAAGACTTACAATGTCGGTGAAATGTCGGGTAATGTACGAAATCCACAGTCCGACTCTGGGCATTATCATGCATACTATGGACTCCGGACAAGGTTCATTTCTTTAGCTCTTCCTGTCAATATGACCAAGTTGTGAAAACAAGGTCAAACAACTACTATACATTGAAAGCGACTGCGACCAAAATAGAGGCCACAACATCTTGGTCTTTGTATCTACATTTAAACTTGCTACTGGTAGTTAAATTACGACAAAGGTTTAAATTTAAATGGGTGGTCCTATTATAGAACGTAATGACGAATAGTTTGTAAATTAAAGTTAAAAAACCCCTTAAATGCATAAAATCGATGCGTTTAATTAAAAAGATCCTACTCTGGTCCTACTCTGGAAATGATGATACATATAATGGACTCCGGACTAGGTGCGTTCCTCTAAGTGTTCTTACCAATATGACCGAGTTGCAAAAACAAGGTCAAATAACTTCTAATAAGATATAGTTCATGATAATCAATTTGATCACACTTGTAAAAATATCGTTGATTAGAAAGCAGAATAAGGGTATCGGAATTTACTTTCGCCATATAAATAAAGTAGCAGCGATGATTAAATTTAAAGTTGTTACTGAGACATTCATTTAGTATTAAAGTGCACGAAGAAGAGATTCGTAGAGTAATTTCATCATAGGATGACGGCTGAATCATGTTGTACTGCAGCCATTTGGCTTTACTATGGCGTTCGGGTTGACGTAATCCACGAGATACCCTCCTCACTTCGAGTGCAAACGGCTGAGCTTTCGTCCATCATCTGATGGACATCATCAGAGCTGGAACTCATTTTTGTAAAAGTCTCACGTTAACACTAGGTCAAGAAGAATATACGGCTCTATCTTCCCTCTTATATATACTCATAGCCCAAAACGAAAATGAAAAGGCATAGGTAAATATAGGATGATTTGGCTAATTATCTTTCATACTGCTCCTGCTACTTTTACTCGAGTGTGTGTGCATGTGCTGACATCAATATGCAATACTAGTCCTAAATCAGTAATCAAAAAACTAATGTTGGGCTCTGATCATCAAGGCTCAGCCTGTTTTCATCCGAAGCGAAGGAGGATGTATCCTGGACTACGTCAAACTGAACGTAGTAGTAAAGTCAAACAGCTGCAGTAAAAACGGGATTCAGCCGTCGTCTTCAGGTGAGATCAACCCACGAATATCTTCTTCATGCACTTTCATATAAAATGATGATTTCTTCAACAATCTGATCTCAGGAGAATCATCAAAATCCAATTACTCTTCGTATCTAAATTTGCAGTCATTAACTAAAGCTTGCTTCAGACTAGTGTGTATGCTGATAACCTACAACGATTGTGGATTTCACCTGTGATATTTTAACAAACGTAGGACAAAAAATCTTTTTGCACACACTTGTTTCTGTATTAAATTTATAATTGTACCAGATAATACTCAGTGGTGATTTATAATTGTGCTAACACGCTTCCCTTCTAGTAATCACACCTCAAAACAAACGTCTACTCCACAGGTTTGCCTGGCAAAAATGTGAAGAATATTGGAGCAGCCTTTACATTTATCTGAAAGTTGACATAACGACCAAACTTAATCTGTCAAAGATGTTATTACATAGGAAACCAAGAGTGACTTGATTGCATTAGTAGAGTTTACTCTCTCGGGAAGGTATACTCTAATCAGCCCAATACAACAGGTCATTGTCCATCCAAAATAAGTATTCTGAATAAATTAGGTTGATTTTAAGTTAACTTATCTTGATTATATGGTGGAATAAATTTGCTTTAATGGTTGAGATGCCAAGCATTGAGAACCATAGAAATAGATAAAAATGTCTCGAATTACATTTATTAGATAGTGAAACGCTTCGAGTAAGGACCCTATCTAATGATTTAATAACAATAAGTCTGCTTACTTGGCTAATGTAATCTTATCACTTAACTCCAAGGTGGCTTCCTTCAAGTTGACCTGACGCTGCTCTAGCGTCTGCCAGATTACTTCGGGTAGGTCGGCCACCTCCCCGATGACAGAAGATCCTGATCCCGTCGTAGTTACAGGAGGGCTAGCGATATTGCTTGAGTCCGTGAATGCAAGCTTAGAGAAACTTCCCGACACCGCCGATTGGCCTACGATGCGGTCCAGCTGAGCACCAGCTCTTGCTATCAAATCGGCGGCCAAGGCTTGTTGTACATGGAAGTCATGCTCTTGCGACTGCAGATAGGAAGCCGAATCAGTAACCATCGGAACAATGTAGATTAGAATATGGTAGACAAAATTCAAGATAGATAAAAGGTTCCCTCCACGTTTATTTGCTAGAGAGCAGTATTGAAATGTAGAAAGTGGTCTTTAGTACACAATGGAATGTAAGTTATTTTTTCGGCAAAAAATTCAATATGGCAAAACATTGTGATTCAACCCGCTCTCTATAATTTACAAATTGTATTTAATATTCCTAAATTAGGCCATACTAACAATTAAATATGTTTTGAATCAAGCCTTAGCTTGGCCATTACCTTGTGTTACTGCTATGGCAAGAGGGCCCAGAATAGTATGTTTTTACAAGCTTGCTAACAAAAGCAATCACAAATTCTGCAGCTATTTGCATCGTAGCTCACTAAGCATTGCCTCAATAATCAAGGGACTTTTCAAAAACCAATAATATACTACAATTGGTCGTGAGGACGGTTAAGACAACACACAATCAGATAAGAGTATTCAGTTTAAAGTGACTCCGCTCACCCTTAGTTTAGTCAAAAGCACTTCGCCCATGGGGTCACAATTCTTATTTCTGGCAGCTCCGATAACCATGCTTCTGGAAGTACTGAAGGTTCCATTGGCTAAGGCAAATGGGATGCCAGCATTGGTCACGACACCATCTGTTCCTGAAGCACGGGTTCCAGTGCTCTCAACTGCATTAGTGTCGATGGCCGAAACTGTGACCAGGGCATCAATGCGTTGGCCACGCTCTGCAAGTGTTGTAAGAAGGTCACGCATCTCACCGGCTAATGAGAGACAATCGCATGCAGCACCCAATTGGTTGCCTCTCCTACGACACGCCATCTGCAAGTCACACAATGCCTGAGAGAGACGTTTCTGTGACTCTGATAGACTAGAGGATAGCCCGAAAACTTCAAGGTAGGTGGTGGAAGTGGAAGCGGATGATTGGTTCAGAAGTTCAGTTATCTGAGGTTCTCTGGCCTGGATGGTTTGCTCTAGCCTCTTTACAGAAAAAAACAATGAAAATAATTATACTTTTAGCATTACAAATATTAATATTTAATATTTAACCATTGAAAATTGCTGAATAATCCGAATCACTTTGGTGGTTTATCATAAAATCGGAAGACCCCTAGACTTGGGAAAGCTTCTATACAACCCAGCTTAACTGACCCAAAATTGAGGTATTGAATAGATGGGTGAAATTCTACTAATATCAAAGCAATAAATCTGAGTCTATGCATAGGATTTAAATAAAAAGTTCAATTATTGGTCAGGATCAACAGCTTGAATTACTACTGGCCAGATCTAAAATGAAGGAAAATCATTCTAAGATGAAATCCAAGTGCGACATTGAGCAAAGTTTTGCTTTTAGACACAACTTAGGCTGGTAATTAAATGCTGAACTGGCCAATTTTACGGATACTAATGAACTAAAAGGCTGGACAAAAATGTCATTTTAATATAATTGAGCATAGCAAAGAAATACCCAAACACAAACGGATCGTTTCAGGCATGCCAGTTTAATTTTAGGATAAGGTTTTAATATTAACGTTTATATGCAGGATTACGCGAGTGAAAAATAGAGGGCATAACAAGTTGCCTGTATAAATAATTAATAATGAAAACAATCAACTATAAGGGACCGTCCATTTATATAGTGGAAATATTTAGCGTACAGGGATTCCAAATATACGAAAAATGTTTATCCATAAAGGAGCTAACAAGACTTAGTCATCGTCAGCCGTCTTGATGAACGGACGCATTTGATCAGAAAAAATAGGTTTTGCAATTTATGTGAATTGGAAAGAGTTTATTGTAGTCAGATAAACGGACCGCTAATTAAATTCCTCTCAAAGTCTTAATAAATCTATGTGATTATGCTTATATGTCTGATTGCCATTTCCGAAGTTACAAATGAATATAAATGTTGTTAAGTTGGTTTTTATTTCACGTGGAAGCGAGTGATGATAAAAGGCTGATTACCGATGTTCTGCAATCGCTTGATTTTAGTTTAATGCTCAGGCTCACGCAGTCCTCGAGACGCCCTTCCTCGTTTCGGGTAAATATGGGCTGAGCTTACATTTTCAGAACTCAAGTCTATTAAAGGGTTTAGTTGTGGACCAATGTATTTGAGGCCATTGTATAGTGTCTCAGGTTTCTAACCTGTGTTAATTACTTCTGGCCCTTTGCAAATCTGCCTGTAAGGGAATTTTTAAGTTCCTCTATTCTTTGATAAATAAAACGACATATCTTGCCTACATAAGGCCGAGAATATTAAAGTACAAGCTTGCAAAGGCTGGATATTGATGACGGATAGACGTGTCGAGACTATAGGCTGCGCTACCCGGGTTCGAGTCCTAATTGGAGTGCTGATGAGGCCAGTACAATCCACTTCAGCCTGAATGAGAAAACCTTTTGAAAAGCAAGGCCATGCGAAATTCAATGGAAACGTCAGGTCTTCTGATATCATTGTGGAAAAATTAAACTCCCAGTCTCTTTCATTACTTTAAAAGAAATAGGTAAAACACAGTTCTTATACAAAAAAGGTGACTAAACTGGTCAGCTCATTGGTGGTTCTAACGACATTAAAATTTGTTCATATTTATATTAAGCCCATCAACTTAAGACGATTTATGAGATTACGCAATATTAGCCATGTTTTTCCTTAAGGCCATTAAACTTTGATGGTAGCTTCGCATTCAAATTTACACACGCACAGGCTTACATCTCATTATATTGACCAGGTGTAATCTTAGGTCTAAGTAATCCTATTGTTAGAGGGACCTTCATTTCGTATGAAAGTGTATAAAGAAGAGATTCGTTAGTCGATCTCACCAGATGAGAACGGATGAAACTCGTTGTACTGCAGCCGGTTGGATTGTATAGA